GGGTGAAACACCACAGTCACATGTAGATCTTGAGGGTGAAACACCACAGTCCCATGTAGACCTGGAGGGTGAAACACTACAGTCACATGTAGACCTGGAGGGTGAAACACTACAGTCACATGTAGACCTGGAGGGTGAAACACCACAGTCACATGTAGACCTGGAGGGTGAAACACCACAGTCACATGTAGACCTGGAGGGCGAAACACCACAGTCACATGTAGACCTGGAGGGTGAAACACCACAGTCACATGTAGACCTGGAGGGTGAAACACTACAGTCACGTGTAGACCTGGAGGGTGAAACACCACAGTCACATGTAGACATGGAGGGTGAAACACCACAGTCACGTGTAGACCTGGAGGGTGAAACACTACAGTCACGTGTAGACCTGGAGGGTGAAACACCAGTCACATGTAGACCTGGAGGGTGAAACACCACAGTCACAGGTAGATCTTGAGGGTGAAACACCACAGTCACATGTAGACCTGGAGGGCGAAACACCACAGTCACATGTAGACCTGGAGGGTGAAACACCACAGTCACATGTAGACCTGGAGGGCGAAACACCACAGTCACATGTAGACTTGGATGGTGAAACACCACAGTCACATGTAGACCTGGAGGGTGAAACACTACAGTCACGTGTAGACCTGGAGGGTGAAACACTACAGTCACGTGTAGACCTGGAGGGTGAAACACCACAGTCACATGTAGATCTTGAGGGTGAAACACCGCAGGTACATGTAGACTTGGATGGTGAAACATCGGAGTCACATGTAGACCTGGAGGGCGAAACACCAGTCACATGTAGTCCTGGAGGGCGAAACACCGCAGTCACATGTAGACCTGGAGGTCGAAACACCGCAGTCACATGTAGACCTGGAGGTCGAAACACCGCAGTCACATGTAGACCTGGAGGTCGAAACACCGCAGTCACATGTAGACCTGGAGGTCGAAACACCGCAGTCACATATGTTTCATGGCAAGGTTGGAGTTGGAAAAAGATTTAATACAAATGTCAGTCGACCTGTTAGTAAGGGAAGGTAACAGTGAACACAGGATTATGGCAACCTTCACAACAGGACCATCTACATTATGGCAACCTTCACAACAGAACCATCTACATTATGGCAACCTTCACAACAGGACCATCTACATTATGGCAACCTTCACAACAGAACCATCTACATTATGGCAACCTTCACAACAGGACCATCTACATTATGGCAACCTTCACAACAGGACCATCTACATTATGGCAACCTTCACAACAGGACCATCTACGTTATGGCAACCTTCACAACAGGACCATCTACATTATGGCAACCTTCACAACAGGACCATCTACGTTATGGCAACCTTCACAACAGGACCATCTACATTATGGCAACCTTCACAACAGGACCATCTACATTATGGCAACCTTCACAACAGGACCATCTACATTATGGCAAACCTTCACAACAGGACCATCTACATTATGGCAACCTTCACAACAGAACCATCTACATTATGGCAACCTTCACAACAGGACCATCTACATTATGGCAACCTTCACAACAGAACCATCTACATTATGGCAACCTTCACAACAGGACCATCTACATTATGGCAACCTTCACAACAGGACCATCTACATTATGGCAACCTTCACAACAGGACCATCTACATTATGGGAACCTTCACAACAGAACCATCTACATTATGGCAACCTTCACAACAGAACCATCTACATTATGGCAACCTGCACAACAGAACCATCTACGTTATGGCAACCTTCACAACAGGACCATCTACATTATGGCAACCTTCACAACAGGACCATCTACGTTATGGCAACCTTCACAACAGGACCATCTACATTATGGCAACCTTCACAACAGGACCATCTACATTATGGCAACCTTCACAACAGGACCATCTACGTTATGGCAACCTTCACAACAGAACCATCTACATTATGGCAACCTGCACAACAGGACCATCTACATTATGGCAACCTTCACAACAGAACCATCTACATTATGGCAACCTTCACAACAGGACCATCTACATTATGGCAACCTTCACAACAGGACCATCTACGTTATGGCAACCTTCACAACAGAACCATCTACATTATGGCAACCTGCACAACAGGACCATCTACTTATGGCAACCTTCACAACAGAACCATCTACATTATGGCAACCTTCACAACAGAACCATCTACATTATGGCAACCTTCACAACAGGACCATCTACATTATGGCAACCTTCACAACAGAACCATCTACATTATGGCAACCTGCACAACAGAACCATCTACGTTATGGCAACCTTCACAACAGGACCATCTACATTATGGCAACCTTCACAACAGGACCATCTACATTATGGCAACCTTCACAACAGGACCATCTACATTATGGCAACCTGCACAACAGAACCATCTACGTTATGGCAACCTTCACAACAGGACCATCTACGTTATGGCAACCTTCACAACAGGACCATCTACGTTATGGCAACCTTCACAACAGGACCATCTACATTATGGCAACCTTCACAACAGGACCATCTACATTATGGCAACCTTCACAACAGAACCATCTACATTATGGCAACCTTCACAACAGGACCATCTACATTATGGCAACCTTCACAACAGAACCATCTACATTATGGCAACCTTCACAACAGAACCATCTACATTATGGCAACCTTCACAACAGAACCATCTACATTATGGCAACCTTCACAACAGGACCATCTACATTATGGCAACCTTCACAACAGGACCATCTACATTATGGCAACCTTCACAACAGGACCATCTACATTATGGCAACCTTCACAACAGGACCATCTACATTATGGCAACCTTCACAACAGAACCATCTACATTATGGCAACCTTCACAACAGGACCATCTACATTATGGCAACCTTCACAACAGGACCATCTACATTATGGCAACCTTCACAACAGGACAGTATGATCACAGTGATTATTTTTTTCAATGACCATTTGATAAGAAAATACATTTAGATACAACAGTGCGTTAACAGTGCATATTAATTACAACAGTGCGTTAACAGTGTATATTAGTTACAACAGTCCGTTAACAGTGTATATTAGTTACAACAGTGCGTTAACAGTGTATATTAGTTACAACAGTCCGTTAACAGTGTATGTTAGTTATAACAGTGCGTTAACAGTGTATATTAGCTATGACAGTGCGTTAACAGTGTATATTAGTTACAACAGTCCGTTAACAGTGTATGTTAGTTATAACAGTGCGTTAACAGTGTATATTAGCTATGACAGTGCGTTAATAGTGTATATTAGTTACAACAGTCCGTTAACAGTGTATATTAGTTACAACAGTGCATCAACAGTGTATATTAGTTACAACAGTGCATCAACAGTGTATATTAGTTACAACAGTGCATCAACAGTGTATATTAGATACAACAGTGCGTTAACAGTGTATATTAGCTATAACAGTGCGTTAATAGTGTATATTAGTTACAACAGTGCGTTAATAGTGTATATTAGTTACAACAGTGCGTTAACAGTGTATATTAGCTATAACAGTGCGTTAATAGTGTATATTAGATACAACAGTGCGTTAACAGTGTATATTAGTTACAACAGTGCGTTAACAGTGTATATTAGCTATAACAGTGCATCAATAGTGTATATTAGATACAACAGTGCGTTAATAGTGTATATTAGCTATAACAGTGCATCAACAGTGTATATTAGTTTCAACAGTGCTTTAACAGTGTATATTTCTTTCAAGTGGTAGATGGATATCAGTAACTGTTAACAGTTAATGGTAGGTATCCAAGTACTCAGGTGGTGTCAGGCAGTTAACGCCACACCACCAGGATAAACCACAAGCTGTTAACATGATACGAGTGACCAAGATGCTAGAGATGATCATGTCACAAGTTAGACATGAGTGGGTAATAACCTAGAGGCTGTCAAGAGATTACAAAGGCTTGAAAAAGACACATGTTGTCGATATCTTACAAGAAGTTAAGATACTAAGAAGGTCAGTGACTGCCAACAACTGGAGGGGCATGAAAGACCTGCCGAGCCGTCGATCATTTCAAATGTACTGATGTATCTGAAGTGATCAAGGTACAAGGAGAAAAATGTTTTCAATCTACAGGGAAGTCAACACACTAGAAGATCAACTCATAATGATTCAGTTAATAAACAGAGGAATGGGCGAGGACGCAGCTGTACAACGGTGGTCCTGCTGCTTCCAGCACCACGGTTCCAGTCCCGGTTTATTCTTCTGTTTATTCTTACTGTAGATAAATGGTTTAAATAACCGACAAGTTGATAAATTAAGACACATGTGCAACACTTGGGTATCTTTATTGTGGAAACGTTTCGTCACGCGGTGGCTTCATCAGTCCAATATAAAGAAGAATAGTGAAGATTAGAAGGAGATTGAGGTAATCAGTCAATTAGCCTGGAGTCGATGTGTTCAGTTCATCGGTGATTCAGAGGTCTGAACTTTGCTCAGACCTCTGCAACACAGTTGTCCTCAAAAATTTGTTAATAAAGTTGGTAGAATTACCGACAATATGTAAAGTAAAAAGACACAAGTGCAGCTAATTTGACATTTTATTGTGGCAACGTTTCGCTCTCCAGGAGCTTTATCAAGCCGTTACAAACAGTACATGGACACAGAGGGTCCATGTACTGTACTGTGTCCATGTACTGCTTGTAACGGCTTGACAAAGCTCCTGGAGAGCGAAACGTTGCCACAATAAAATGTCACATTAGTTGCACTTGTGTCCTTTTACTTTACAAAGATTTGTTAAGTTATAGCATGAACTAAGGAAAGATCCTGGACTTCACCTTACGAAAGCAAAGCAAATGTTATGGTAATTATGGACAAGGTAGATAATAAGGTAAAAATAAACATGATAATAGGAGACAGGGAAACTCACGCGTCTCTTAAGATGATCAATAAATTACAAATGTCGACTCACTGATGCGGAGGAGATGACCGAAGACGTAAGGGGAGTTGGTGAAGGTGGAGCAGTTCCAGCGGTGCATGTTAAACTGGTGTTGACACTCACTGATGCCCATTCTGGCACCCTGGCTCACCGTCTGCAGTAATATAAGCATGTTATACACAGGGTGATAGGCGAGGCCTGGAGCTATCACTCAACCTCTTGCAAGCGCAACTCAGTTGGATAATTGGATTGAAAGAGTCATTAAGACTGTTAATAACATTTTCATACCAGTCAGAACTACTGTAATACCTAATGTAGTAAACGTATACATACTGAGATATACGCCCATGTATACATACACCGTTGCTCTCGGTAAATACACATATGAATATTTTGTGTGTCCCCAAGAACACTAAAAAACTATATGCTATGTATCTTGTGTTTAAATTAAGATTTACATATTAAGTAGAGCTATATAAGTCTAGTCATTACAAACTGTTGAGGTAACATGATACAACTAAATGAACTTACAGAGATTAGAGCTGTAATATGTAACTGTGAACCTTCCCCGCTGTAAGACGGTGTTTATAGTGTACGGATGTACCTGCCCAGATATACTTGTGTAATGCATATATATACATATATAGTAAACTTTTGTTTAGGCTTTGTGTACACAGCTACTGTCTGTTACAGAGATCGTGAGAGCACACAGGTGTTACGGGCACATAAGAAGGAAACATGTAGATTTAACCTAAGATAGTCCACCGCATGTACAAAGCCTTAAGTCGCATTATTAACCCTGGGATGGGGGAGGGGGAGCCTCATAACCCAGGATAACCCAAGAAAACTAAGCAGTCTGGCTTGTTCCAGTGGAGTACTGTGTTAGATCCTGCTCAAGACGGTGATCCACAACAGTCGACATGCAGCAGTTAAAGTGGCAAAAATATTTGCATTCACAATATATAACTGTTGCAGCGGTATAAGTCAGTCAGTTGTCAGCTGCGTCGAACACACTCACCATACTTATATGACTCAACATCCTAACTCAGTAATAAACGTGTCACCCCAAACAATTTTTAGCTATCAAGTGTATCTTACTAATTTATACCAAAGGAATTAATCTGAGGCCAACCAAAATCACCAGACTTGATAACATTCCAAACAAATTACTAAAAGATGGCGCCTCTAAACTGAAAGTACCTACAACTTATATCATAAATTTATTGGTAACCTACGTGTGAGATGAGCTGAAGTCGACCAGTCACTCCTGTTTACTAGAAAAACAGTAGAGGGGATGTCAGTAACTACAGAACCGTTACCGTTAGTATACTTAGCTTTATGTCCACAATCCTAGACAGCAGTGTATCAAGTTATGTCTCTGAATGGTGACATATTATATACTCACTAATGAGATTTTAATGATACTTCCTTAGTCAACCCAAATGTCGCAGGGAATTTCACAGGTGTGCTTACTAGAGACCTACAAAAGGCTTCTGACACGGTATACCATGAATTATTATGTCAAAACTACAAGCTATGAGGTTATGTTCTGTTGAATAAAATTGTACAAATCAGTAATACAGAATCAGAACCCTTGTCGAAACAGTAACATGTGAGGTTCAACAACGGAGTATCGTGGGTCCCCTACTTTCTTATACACTGAAATTTCCATGACATGACACGCAAGCTTCTCTTTGCAGATGATGGAGCTCTTGTGATGTCAGGAAAAGACCTAGAGAATACAGCTTACGTATTGGTGGATCTAGAATTAAAGAGTCGCCGGTTAATAGATAAACTGCCGCAGCATTTGGACAAAACAGAAGGAATATTTTATATAACTAGTAACCTGTCTCAACAGTACAGTAAATTCTGTGAAAAATATCTGGGTATAAACTTTGATCGCTGCATATCAGGTGAGTACCAGGTTAAAGTTACTCTGTAGAAGAATGGTTCAAAGAACCGACACGTTGTTAAATTAGACACGTGCAACTTTTGGGTATCTTTATTGATGGACTGACCACAACGACTCAAGGCTGAGGGACTGATTACCTCATTCTCCTCCTGTTCTTCAAGTTTATCCTTTGTATGGACTGATGAAGCTACTGTCTGGCGATACGTTTCCTCAGTAAAGATACCCAAGAGTTGCACATGTGTTTAATTTAATAAAGTTACTTTACAGACAAAGTGTCTACCCGCTTCTGTCCAAGATTGTCCATTTTGTCTGGCCTTTATATAGCTTTTCTAATCTGCTTGACTTTGTATTTCTCGGGAATGAACTCCAGCAGCCACTTGATAGATCACATTTGTAGCCTCTTCCAACCTTCCTGGAGCCCAGATCTGTCTTCCTTTGTTCTCATCCTTCTCATTAGTTTTACACACACACCCCACACCATACATACATACACACACACAAACAAACAAACAAACAAACACACACACACACCACACACACACACATACTACACACATACACCCCACACACACACGACTCAATGCCTTAAATATATATGAACATCAAAATGGTAACAATACCGACAGGTTGGTAGGTTTAAGACACATAGGCAACAGTTAGGCAACTTTTTTCCGAAACGTTTCGCCCCACGCAGTAGGCTTCTTCAGTCGAATTTCAGGAAGTAGGCAGGGGAAAAGTAGAGATGTGAAGACGATGTAATCAGTCCATCACCATGACCTCTCAGTGGTTACATTCTCACTACTACTACTACTACTACTACTCTGCACCTCTCCTTCCGACAGTATTTAAGTCTCCGCACTGTCGCTTGATCTTCAGATAGTTCCTGACTATGGAACTGAACTTCTCCAGGCTGAGGGACTGACAACCTCAAATTCTACGACTTCAAGGGTGATGGACTGATTACATCGTCTTCACATCTCTACTGTTCCTGCCTACTTTCTGTATTCGACTGAAGAAGCCTAATGCGTAGGCGAAACGTTTCGGAATAAAGTTGCCTAACTGTTGCCTATGTGTCTTACCTACCAGCCTTAAATATATAAATATATTAAGTGTTTAAATATATTAAGAGAACAGCCGTCTTAGTACTGATCCTTGTGGGACCCTACACGTTACTCTCTCTCATTATAATGTTTAAACTCTTGACGTTACTCTGTTGTATCTTCCAGGTACTACCTGGTTCAGTATGTCTTCCAGGTATTCCTGGTCCACCGTGTCTTCCAGGTATTCCCTGGTCCACCGTGTCTTCCAGGTACTCCCTGGTCCACCGTGTATTGCAGGTACCTGGTTTAGTGTGTGTTCCAGGTACTACCTGGTCCACCGTGCCTTCCATGTACTACCTGGTCCACCTTGTCTTCCAGGTATTCCCTGGTCCACTGATGAACTATTACTAATTCCTGCCTTTTCATACATCTGGGCTTGTCTGTGATGTGGCATTCTGACAAACTCTTCCATACAGCCCAGGAAGATGCAGTCCATCCATCTTATTCTGTTTATCTCTGTGACTCAGTCATAATGCTACAGCAATTTCGTAAAATAGGATTTTCCCCTCCTTTTAACTGTGTTGCTTTACTCTGACCGAACGTTCCTACTGCAGCTGTCCACCCCAGGAGCCCACTCTACTGCCTGTCCCAGGAGCCCACTCTACTGCCTGTCCCAGGAGCCCACTATACTGCCTGTCCCAGGAGCCCACTATACTGCCTGTCCCAGGAGCCCACTATACTGCCTGTCCCAGGAGCCCACTATACTGCCTGTCCCAGGAGCCCACTATACTGCCTGTCCCAGGAGCCCACTATACTGCCTGTCCCAGGAGCCCACTATACTGCCTGTCCCAGGAGCCCACTATACTGCCTGTCCCAGGAGCCCACTATATCTGCCTGTCCCAGGAGCCCACTATACTGCCTGTCCCAGGAGCCCACTATACTGCCTGTCCCAGGAGCCCACTATACTACCTGTCCCAGGAGCCCACTATACTGCCTGTCCCAGGGCCCACTATACTGCCTGTCCCAGGAGCCCACTATACTGCCTGTCCCAGGAGCCCACTATACTGCCTGTCCCGGAGCCCACTATACTGCCTGTCCCAGGAGCCCACTATACTGCCTGTCCCAGGAGCCCACTATACTGCCTGTCCCAGGAGCCCACTATACTGCCTGTCCCAGGAGCCACTATACTGCCTGTCCCAGGATCCCACTATATTGCCTGTCCAGGAGCCCAATATACTGCCTGTCCCAGGAGCCCACTATACTGCCTGTCCCAGGAGCCCACTATACTGCCTGTCCCAGGAGCCCACTATACTGCCTGTCCCAGGAGCCCACTATACTGCCTGTCCCAGGAGCCCACTATACTGCCTGCCCCAGGAGCCAACTATACTGCCTGTCCCAGGAGCCCACTATACTGCCTGTCCCAGGAGCCCACTATACTGCCTGTCCCAGGAGCCCACTATACTGCCTGTCCCAGGAGCCCACTATACTGCCTGTCCCAGGAGCCCACTATACTGCCTGTCCCAGGAGCCCACTATACTGCCTGTCCCAGGAGCCCACTATACTGCCTGTCCCAGGAGCCCACTATACTGCCTGTCCCAGGAGCCCACTATACTACCTGTCTCAGGAGCCCACTATACTGCCTGTCCCAGGAGCCCACTATACTGCCTGTCCCAGGAGCCCACTATACTGCCTGTCCCAGGAGCCCACTATACTGCCTGTCCCAGGAGCCCACTATACTGCCTGTATCAGGAGCCCACTATACTGCCTGTCCCAGGAGCCCACTATACTACCTGTCCCAGGAGCCCACTATACTGCCTGTCCCAGGAGCCCACAATACTGCCTGTCCCAGGAGCCCACTATACTGCCTGTCCCAGGAGCCCACTATACTGCCTGTCCCAGGAGCCCACTATACTACCTGTCCCAGGAGCCCACTATACTGCCTGTCCCAGGAGCCCACTATACTGCCTGTTCCAGGAGCCCACTATACTGCCTGTCCCAGGAGCCCACTATACTACCTGTCCCAGGAGCCCACTATACTACCTGTCCCAGGAGCCCACTATACTACCTGTCCCAGGAGCCCACTATACTGCCTGTCCCAGGAGCCCAATACTTCCTGTCCCAGGAGCCCACTATACTGCCTGTTCCAGGAGCCCACTATACTGCCTGTCCCAGGAGCCCACTATACTGCCTGTCCCAGGAGCC